TATAGTGAACACTTCAGGGGTCCACAGAAGATTAGGATTAAGAAAACTTGGTCTACTTTAGGACTCTACTTTTTTGTCTATCATAGATACTGTGAACAGAAAGCAGAACTTCTTTTGTTCATGTCCCAAATCACACGCCTGTGTGGTACTATGAGTTTTTTTCCCATTACAATATATGGATTTACTGGCAAAAATATCATAATAGGTTTTGTCTATAGTCAGCAAAGATTTCATCCAGGATTTCAAATTGAATATGAAGTTTAAAAAACATAAAAATAATTAGTGGTATAGTTACCTTTACTTACAGTAAGAATTGGTTGGGGGTATAGATATACATATTTTTATTCCAATGACATAAATAGGTGTACTTGATTTGACTTCTCTTCAGTATTACTTAGGTTGTCTCAACTTGGCTAGCTATGTCTAAATTCATTTCTTTGGCCTTTAGACTTTTAAGAGGGCCGACTTTTGGGAACCAAATGTTTAAGTTATCTAGGTGGCTAGTTCTCTGCCGTAATATATTTTGGCTCAGCATTTGCAGGAATTTTGTATTGATTTTCTCAGGGAAAACTCAACATGAAAGCACTCTGTAAGTCTACATGAATTCTAACTCTATACGAGTTAGATCATCTGTTTAGATGATCCTGTCCGACATGAAGAACAAATAAGTTGGTCCCACTGGATTATGTTATTAATTTGTTTTATGGAGTTTATTGTAGCAAGATTAATTTACTTCTCTCAACATCAAAATTCCCAAAGTATAGCATCCTTTAGGGACATACCTTCTCCCAGAATGGAAAATGATGCAATGCTTCTGGGAACTTTAATGCAGCCAAGGAACAATTTGTTCCAGAATGAACACGTACTAGCAGTGGATTAAACATAAAATGGAGTAACTTCAATGAAGTCTCATCTCTTTCCTGTGCAGAGGCACAGGTAGGGGAAGAGGATGGGCTCCATGGTAACAAAGGAGTATGATTTCAGTTTTAATTCTTCTTGACATTTCCATAGATGAAAGGAGTTCATCACAATGTAAGTCCAGCTTATGTTTAAAAAGTCCATTTCTGTGTCTCTGTTTACCCTTCAAGAAATTAAAAATGAACAACATATATTCATAGGAAAGCTAAAATGACTACCATTTAAAATGTGACCTCGAGGAATATGTCAGATGATAATAGCTTAGAATAGTATGTTGAAATTTACCGGGAAGTGTTGTAAAATCTTAAGAAATTCACAGAGAGATCGTGCGGCCAATTTGAATCCATCTCTGAGTACCCAGAGCCTCACCTTTCCTTCAACCACATTTACATAATGATTATCCCTGAGCAGGGTAGCTGTTAGAGTTCTTCTTCTACATGTGATACTGTCAGCATGCAATATTGCCTTGGAATATGTGTATCAGATTGAAGGCAGGGGAGTGTGGAGATTAATAAGGGAAATTTGCAGAATTTGCAAATATTTGAGAGCTCTTGTACATGAGCTTGTTCATGCTTTCTCTGGGACCTCATTCATTTTTTTTGACAACCACCAACCCCTTCACTGTTACATATGCTTCAGTATGGAATGGGTTTGGGTTGGGATATTGAGAGATCTGAGGTTCTCTCCTGGAAGAATGGTATTTGTTGAAAGACAAGTAGCTCTAAATTCAGACAGAGCTTTGTCACTTTTTTAGTCCTCTCAGGAAACACTAGATCTGGGCTTTTGAACACATCACTTTTCATACGCAGGGCTTTGGTGGCTTGCTCTGTCAAATAAAGATAGCCTACTCTCATCTTTATTTAGGCTGGAGTAAAAAATAAATGTGTTGACATGGTACAGCCTGGTAAAATCTTCACTGCACAATTTTTTTTTGGTTGTCTCACAGTATTATACTATCAAATTTATTGTGTCACAAATCCAGTTATATTATCTTTAACACTACAGAACAGAAACTATCTTTACCTCTACAATAACATTAAAAAAGTAAAATAACTACCATCATTCACATAAAAAATTTGCCACCCTTTCTGTGGTTTTCAATTATATTGTGTGTGTATATGTGTGTGATTCAGTTTTCTTAAAGAAAATTGAGGCTAGTGTTCTCTTAGTTTCTTAGAAATTCAGAAATGAAGAGTTCTGAGTGCATACATAGCTTGGGAATCTTTCTCACTTTCATGGTTTACGAATGTCTTCTCTCATTTTATTTCCCAATCTAGAGTGGTAACAGTCATTTTCTTTTCTTTTGGTTAATTACTAAAATAGCTCAAGAATTTGCTTTTGTTGCTTCTTTTAGTTAGGTTTTTATATTATTATTATTTATTAATTTTGTTGTTCATGGGGCTGTCCCCGAGCATTTTTTCTCAAGGCCAGTACTCTATCACTTTGAGCCACAGCATCACTTCTGGTTTTTGAGTGGTTAAATTGAGATAAGAGTCTCATGGGGACTTTTCTGCCTGGGCTGGCTTTGAACCATGATCCTCAGAGCTCAGACTCCGTGAGCCACCAGTGCCAAGCTTATATTATTTTAAACCACAAGAATCATACATTTGCTCCTTGTACCAAAACCTTAAAATTTCAAATAGAACTAAAACTCACAGGTAAGCTGAGTTCTCTCTGATACCTCAATCAAAGATGAACTATGGTCCTTTTGACAAATAAATGTTACCTTGGCATTGATCCTTCCAGATGCTTTTATTTTGTTGACACTCAAAGTTGAATTTTGAAAGATAAGTGTGAGGATTTAAACAATGCTCATAATATTGTACTGTGTTCATTATTCTACTTCTTCTTTTTGATGTGTATTAGGAAAAGAATTATGCACCTACATGTAAAGCTTCTTCATTTTGAAACTTCTGTACAGTGTTTCTTAGAATGACTATAACAATGTTTATTTTGCAGTTACTCTCCTGAAGAACATCTGTATGGAATCATATGGGTTTTCATCGTTTTAAACATGGTGGAGAAGACATCATTATTATTTCATGTGTTTCCTCAGGGCAGAGATTAAGTAATTTACTTCATTAGATATACTCTCTAAAGCTTGTAATGTTAATTAGTGGAAAATCAAAACAAAGAGATCCACCCTCCCAACCCCCAAAGTCTGAGTTACCACTGATGTCACATTGTCTCATTAATACTTTGTGTTCATATTTCTTAAGGGGAAAATTGTGTGGTATCGGTATTTTAATCTTATTTCTGTGATTACTAGAGAGATGAAGCATTTTCAAAGTTTATTGGGCTTTGAGATTTCCTTTCTTGTGGTATGATGTTCTGCATCTTTGATCAGCCACCCCATGAGTATTTGCTATGCTTATATATGTGTGCCCTAACTTTAATTCTTTTGGAATATGTGTGGCAACATTTTCCCCCCCAATGTGAATGTCTTAATTTTAAGATAGTCCATGTTGGCATGCATTCCTGTAGACTTATAATACAAAGAACACATTATTTTTCTGTTTCTTATGCTTTGTTTAAGAGGATCATCCTAAGAGGAAAATCATAATTCCATTTCTTATGATTTCTCATCCTGTATTTATGGCTAGAAATTTAGAAAGTCAAGTGGTATGGATCGAATTTTGGTATCACATTGTTTTATTTTCTTTAAATTCACTCATGTAGTTGCTTTTTATGATGAATTAATCTTGGCTGTTTAGACTGTCCTACAATGCGTTTCCCTTCCATTAACCTTAAAATAGGATGTGTCATTGAAATCATTTTAGATTTGGTTGGAATTGCAGTAATTGCATCATCCAAAGAATTGGAAGAGTAGTCTAGCCCAATCAGCCTAAGAAAACCAGAGCAAGCCCATTTTTCTGATCAATCATCGTTATTGTTTCACCACAGTCAAAGAAAGCACACATCCAGGAACCACTGGTTTTATCTCACTGAACAAATTGAAAGTTTAATCATTTATGGGGTCATTGGCAAAGGCTGAGTCTAGATAAAAAGTAATATTGAGCAACATTTGGATAGGTTGGAAACAAAACAAGTTGTAGGTCAAGAAATCAATGTCAGGTATAGGCATCAAAGCAGACACATAGTAATCACTGAGTTAATACAGATGTGGAATGACACATTCGGAACTTGACACTTCATGTCTATGATAGAAACAGAGACAATTTCACAATGTCAAGGCCACAGTTCTTCCAAAAAAAAGCATGAGCTGTTTCCATCACTGGTGTAATTTCAAACCAAAAGATTTTAGAAGGCCACATGAGAAAAAAAATATTTATCACTGAATGAAAGAGCACTAGTCTGAAAGAAAAGGGTTGTTAGCATTTGCGGCCTATCCATGGGGCATGGATGTGCTTCTCCTGACTTCCTTTGTGTCAGCTAGTTTAAAGAATGGTCAAGCAGGTGTTTGCTTTCCCAGTATGAGCTAACTTTCTTCTCAGAAGGAAATGAATCTTGGTAGCTGAGATTATTTTTTTTATCTATAAAAGGGAATTTTACTCCCTAATTATTTAGCCATATCTTTCTTTGTGTCAGTAAAAGTCCCACAGTTTAATTTTTTTCAGATGAACCTATATTTTTCCATGCTTTACTTTTGGTGCTAGGATTAAATCCAGGGCCTTGTATATACTCAGCACACTGAGATAGACCCAGCACAAATAGTTCTATTTCAAGGACAGAAAAGTTTATACATCTTTTACATCCTTTTATTACATCCTTAATTTTTTAAAATTAAGTTCTGAACTTTCATTCAACTTCATTTCTTATTTATTTATTTATGTATTTATTTTTACAATTCCATCATAATAATGAGGTAACAGATCTATAGGTGTTTGGGGTGGGTTGTATAATTTCTGAGTTAAATCTTAACTTTTTCTTTAAAGCTTTCTCTTTAGAGCTGTGATATATTTAATCGTCTACAATGTATTTACGATTTAAATCCCAGTGTTCTGAAGTAACTTCCACCAGTAATTTCTTTTCCCATGCATTGCTGTGATTTTTATGACATGGCTTATGTTATCCATCCTTGATTTTTCTCTCCCCCCAGAGAGATCCAAACCAACAAATCCATGGCTAATGAGAACTACACAAGAATCACAGAATTCATTTTCCTAGGCTTAAAGTACAACCCTCGGCTGCAGGTTTTCCTTTTCTTGCTCTTTCTGCTTTTTTATCTTGTTACGATGACAGGAAATCTAGGCATGATCATTCTCATCCGGGTGGACTCACGCCTTCACACGCCCATGTACTTTTTTCTCAGCCACCTGTCCTTCGTGGATATCTGTTTCTCCTCAGTCGTGGGTCCCAAGATGCTCACCGACTTCTTCGCCGAAAGGAAATCCATCTCTTTCCTGGGATGCGCTTTGCAACAGTGGTTCTTTGGTTTCTTTGTGGCCATTGAGTGTCTTCTCCTGGCATCCATGGCCTACGACCGTTACGTGGCCATTTGTAACCCCCTCCTGTATTCAGTGGCTATGTCTCAGAGACGGTGCATACAGTTGGTCGTTGGACCTTACGCGGTTGGTTTCTTCAACACCATGACCCACACCACGGCTGCTTTTCGGCTTCCCTTTTGTCGCTCCAACATTATCAATCATTTCTTCTGTGACATGTCTCCCTTGCTTTCTCTTGTCTGTGCTGACATCTGGATCAATAAGTTGTTGGTTTTTATTGTGGCCGGGGCTGTGCTGGTGGTGAGCAGCCTGACCATTATCATCTCTTACTTCTACATCCTCGTGGCCATCCTGAGCATCCGCTCTGCGGATGGGCGGCGCAAGGCCTTTTCCACCTGCTCCTCCCACATTACGGCGGTTTCCATCCTGTACGGGACTCTGTTCTTTATCTACGTGCGGCCCAGTGCCATCTCCTCTCTGGACCTCAATAAGGTGGTGTCGGTGTTCTACACCGCGGTGATCCCCATGTTGAATCCCCTCATCTACAGCTTGAGAAACAAAGAAGTGAAAGCCGCCATGGGTAGGCTGGTCAACAGGAAGTTCTTCCTTACAAATTAAAGTCCCTAGGGAGAACAGAAAACAGAAGACAGACCACAGGGCAGCTCCCGTTCACGAATGGACCACTTAAACTCTCTCTCCACATGCTTAAGGTCTGTGGGATCTCAGGAGGACATCTTTCTCCCTTCCCACCGACTTGATGTTGACTTTACTGTCTCATTTAAAGCTCCACTTTACTATGTTCCTGTAAATGATAACAAAGCAAAACAAAAAACAACCTTCATCAGAGGCAGGGCGTTTCAACTTCCTTTAAATTATCTTATTGCTGGACCTATGATAGATTTGAATAAATGTTAGGATCACCTTGCTACATACAAGATGTACTACTGGCAATAATGCAAATGTCCAGTCAAAGTGAAATGCATTCTAACCACATATATGTGATCACTTCCTGCATGTAGAATGGAAAAGAGCAAGCAGAGTAGATTATTAGCTTATATACTGATTTTTTTAAACTAAGAAAATTCCACATATATATTCTTTATATTTTACTCCTATGTTCTTTCTTCTTGTCTTCTAAAAATAAAATGACATAACCGTTGTAGATAAAGAGGGGGATATACGCAAGCATAAGAGGAATGGCAGTGAAAATAAAATTCCTACAAATTCACTTTTCCATCTTGAGACAAATAGTGGTAATAACCTCAAGATGTTTGTGTATTTAACTCTTAAGTTGTTCTATTACTTATTATTTGAGATTTGCTTTTTTCTAGTTTTTTTTTTAATAAAAATAAATCAATAGAAATAGAAACTAAAAACAAAAAGGTCAAAAATGAACAAGAAGGGCAGAAAAATCTATATCCTATTTTCACATATTTTTCTTGTTTCTCAGTTAAGAAGATGGAAATACACTTTAAAAATACAAAGTACGAAAACATTCTTAGCACCTTTCTATACTTCCTCAAAACATAAAAATACTTCAAGAATCACAACTATTTTGAAGGAAGATAAAATGATGTTGGAAAAGTATTTGTTTAGGGGCTGGGAAGGTGGCTCAGTGGTAGAGTGCTTGCCTTGCATGCCAGAGGCCCTGGGTTCGATTCCTCAGCACCACATAAGCAAAAAGAAAAAAGCTGGAAGTGGCACTGTGGCTCAAGTGGTAGAGCGCTAGCCTTGAGCTGAAGAGCTGAGGGACAGCGCCCAGGCCCAGAGTTCAGGCCCCACAACTGCCCCCCCCCCGAAAAGTATTTGTTTAGATACAAAACAGAATCAACAGTTCATTTTCAGTTCTGATATTTAGGCATAATATAAAACTCTAAAATTAGGTCTAGATTTTTAGAAAGATGTATACCTCAGTAGAAAAGAAAAAAAAAGAGCAGGGTAAACCTGTGGTTGGTGAGACAAGGAAAATTCACAATTTAGATTTAACTCAGGCTACTGCCCACATGGATTTCATAATGAGGTTGCTGGGTAAAGAAGCACTTTCATAGATGACACTGGTGGATAAAACAGTATGACAGCCTCATTTTCGACTTCCAGGAGGTAGTTGAACCTGCTCTGAGTGTTGCAATATTTCCCCAGGTAGCACTTTACAGAACCGGTGATGAGGGCAGGTTGAGTTCAGCAGGATTGGCCAATCCTCAGGGAGAAAGCAAGACCAAGACAGATAGGAGATGGTGATATTAAATAGACCAGGGGCAATCACCATTTCTTGATGCAATTTTCCCAGAGAAAAATCAATGGATCTGTGTTGATTGGCAGCCAGAGAGACAGAAACAGTAGCAAAACGACGCTATTTAATAGGCCCTCATTTTCTCTTAGAAAGTTCTGCCACTTAATTTATATAATTTTTTTGTTTGTTTTGTTGGTTGAGGTGCTTGAACTCTGGGCCTGGGCACTGTCCCTGAGTTCTTCAGCTCAAGGCTAGTGTTCTACCACTTGAGCCACAGCGGCACTTCAGATTTTCTGAGTGGTTTATTGGAGATAAGCGTCTCACAGACTTTCCAGTCTGCGATGGTTTTGAACTGCGATCCTCAGTCTCCCGAGTAGCTAGGATTACAGGCATGAGCCACCGGTGCCCAGCACAATTTAATTTTGAAATAACTAATGCAATGAAAGAAAGGAATGATGAACAATCCCAGGTGTAAATGTATTTGCTACTCACAGTAAAATAAAGTGACTGCTTTAGATTACTAAAATTTTAAATTAATTTTTTTCCACGTAAAGGAAGATCATTAAGGTTGGGGATATTCCTGACAGCAGTTCTTTACATTCTTGTGGCTAATTGGGCCTCCTCTTGTCACTCATGGTGTATACATACCATCTGGTGTCTAGAATTCCATGAAACTACTGTGCCACGTGGTTATCGTGCCACAGTAGTGGGCAAGCTCTATGCCTCCAGTTCATGAACACCACCACATTTTATGAGAGCTGTTGACTTCCAATTCTTCATTACCATCTCTGAGAAATCTCAGTGCCATCCATCATTGATTATTCTGACATGTTATCTAGTGCACTTTTACTTCAAATTATGATACAGAGAAATTTTGGTTGTATAAGATAACAAGATAGCATAAGATGGGTCCTTATGTCTTTATCATCTAGATTATTAGTCTTTAATTTTGCAGTTAATTTGCAGTCATAGCAAACTTCTGAGCACTTGAACATTATTTACTTTTTCACTGCCATAATAGGAAATCCGTCCTATTACTGGAAAGCAGAGCTACTTCTATTGACTTCTTTAAAATGACAAATAGTATCCATAATGGATGGAAATAAGGTCTGCACTCATTAATTATGTAAGTGTATTTCTCTGAAAAAAAAAACAGCTAACCAGTGTTCAGTATTGTGGCATCTCTGTTGGTGAATGCCAGCCTCATAGGGTTTTCTATGTGAAAGAAAATATAAAATTATGTTTTATATTTCTAATAGCAAAGTCAAAATCCTGACAAGATATTACTTCTTTTTTTTATTAGACTCTAGCATAGTACCAGGCATTTCTTTCAAAGAAGTTTAATAATAAACATAATTGGGCATATCAGCCTTTGGTTTTCTGCAGGTGTCATTTTCAGAGGAATATAAAGAATCATTTATTACGACTGGGGAGGTAGCTTGGTGGTAAGCATATTTGCCTTGCATGCATGAGGCCCTGGGTTCGATTCCTCAGTACCACATAAGCAGAAAAAGCCAAAAGTGGCACTGTGGCTCAAGTGGTAGAGTGCTAGCCTTGAGCTGAAGAGCTCAGGGACAGCATCCAGGCCCAGAGTTCAGGCCCCACGACTGACAAAAAATAAAAAAGAATCAGTTATTACTGTATTTTCCTTCTCTAATTTCTGTTACTAAATCTCTCACCAGATGACTTTATTTCCTTACAAACTTATCTTTAAATATTAGTTCTATTTAAGAATACAAGTGGCAAAGCTTGACTTTACATTACTTATTAAATGCAAAGTCTTACACCCAGGTGTTAATTTTTATTCTTCTCTCTTTCTCTACTCAACTATCTCCTGTCACTGTGGTCTTAAGGGAATACAGAAGCTCAAAAATTATATTAAATGAAGTAAGCCAAGCCCAAAGAAACATAGGTCCCATGGTTTCCCTTATTTGCAATATCTAGTATATGTATGAGTCAGGCAGAAAAGGTCAGATAATGTGGTGTTAGGAAAATGAACCCTTAGATATGTATTTAAATGTTTTTTCTTTCATACATTTGTTTCTAACACATTTATAAGATTATTTCTTTGTTGCTTTGTATGTCCCTCCCCCACAGTATAACCCCTGCTTTCACTATATTTGATGTCG